CACAGGAGGTTGGGACAGTGGACCCTCCGACTGTGCGGGATTAACGCTAGGGAAGAAGACAATAATCTTCTGCATGATTAAGTCCCACGTCAATCTCAAGTTTTTTTTTTCTTTCCCCTTCGTTTTATTTCGTCAGTCCGAACTCACTGATGAGCTCCGGGGATTGACGAAATAGGGCTCGGAAAATAGGAAGGAGCGAAGCGACCCTTCTTATCTATTTTGTTTACAAGAGTTTTATATTTTTAAAAATTCTAATGGTGCAACAGGGCTGAAAGGCCAGCTAGGAACATTACAACCAAATATATGGGAGGAATGAAAATGTTGCAGCACACAAGGTTTTTTTAATAGCTGGTGTATAAGCAATCAATCAAATAAGTGACATGAGCCAACGAAACGAAGCTGTCTGGAGGCGCACGTATGAATCTCGGACTACATCAAGAGATAAGACTTACTCGAGTAACACTGCAACAAACTCGACCTCGGTGACGTTCTCGCTGGCCATACAGTGCTCTAGGAACTGGAGCACCTCGGCCCAATTTTGTTTACCCGTATCCTCGTCTAGAATAAAGGGAATTTCAGAGTGTACAAATTTATGGCGCAACTGACAGCTAGCACACTCACCAACCGTATTGCGGGCAACTTCTGCAACTACTGCAAGTAATTTTTTCCTGAGCCGCGAATCAGATTCGACCATAACGGTGTTGATTAGCTTAAAATGAATCCGAATTCAAATAGCTGAATGGCTAACGGTAGCATTGCAAGTGGTAATCCCTTTATATACCTGATCAGTGAAACTTTTCTGCTGCGTGCCAAGATCGTGCCATAGTTGGTCCCATTTACTTGATAGTAGCCGTCGGAGAAGCACAAGACACATCAGTCGTGACTGGAGAACAAAGGTTTCGTCTTCTTTTTGCAAAAGTTAGCAATAACCCTACTCATTTAGCAGTGGACGTCTACTGATAACTGAGTTTCTGGAGTTCTCAAAGCAATTTTACATGGACTAGTTTTATGTGCGGAAATAAGCGGTTCTGGTCCTTGAAGGTAGGCGGTACGATGAATTGGAGGTTTAGGGGAAATGTACTCACTATGAAAGGGGATAGGCCCCTGGAGTGAAACGTGCCACGAAGAGGAGTGACCGTAGCGGCTAACAAGGCCATATCCAGATCGCCATATTTGTAAAGAACCTCCAGAGGTGGGTACGATAATCCCGTCGACAGCGGGAGATAAGTTAAACCAAAAGGGTTATATTCTAGGATTTTACGCAGCTTCCTTTGTCTTTTTCCTCACCATTGCATTTACCGCACCATCTGCCTTTGAGGTATTTTAGCAACCTTCGGATTGCCAAAGAAATGGTAGCGACCGGCGTGAAGCGAGAAAATTTATCCGTTTTTGATTATACTAATTAACTCGAAAATTTAGCGAAAATCGAAAGAAAATTCCAGAGGAGTGTAGCCCCAGTGGAGTTGAGAGAGGAATAGAATTATTCGCTCAATGTGTTTGAAAAGTTAAAAGCTACTGGCGAGTTACACTGCCTCGGTGAGAGGGCGCAGACAGGCGAACCGTCGCGCCTTTGCTGCTACTTCCAGTTACGGTAGCGCCGGGGCTACGGTAGCCCTGGTGCGACCGTAGCTGGTGGAGGCATGGCTGTGACATTGAGGCAATTTTAGAAAATAATCAGGAGTTTAGTTTACTTTTTCATAAAAGTTTAGTGCTAAATACCTCAACTGGGGCATCAGCAGTGCAGTATAATGAGAACAGTAATGAAGCTTTCGGAGCTAGTTCCATTTCCGTATAGATTTTCTCCGCTTCACTTCGTTCCGTATTATCGGACGACTGCATGTGCACCACCAACTGGTTGAACTGTTGTAAATCCATCCCAAATATTATACTGGTAACCCTGAAACTGTAACATTATAAAGTGAACATCAGCTTAGCCACATAAATGGATGCGACCTCGACCAGTAAGGCTACTATCAAGAGAAGACAACAACCGAAACAAAAACCAAATGAGGACAGCACTGATTGATCCGTGATTAGAGATTTGTAGACCAAATATTGATTTACACGATCTAGACACACACTGTTCAATAGGATTGTTTTTTGTATCCATAGATTTATCCCTTTTCTCACTCTGTTGCTCGGTTCATGAGTTGAGGGATCATTTTTGAAAATTTTCGAGTAAAAAGCTATCAAATTGTCTAGAGCCTCGTTCTAGAATTCATTGCGAAAGCGATCTCATAATTCTAAAACCGTCAAGAAAACAACGATAAATGGCGCAAATACAAACATATGTATAAATAATTAAGTGAATATACAGTAGCGGTCAAAAGTGTTCGCCGAAACGATTTTTAGTGCATTATTTTTTCTCGCTTGAGCAACGCCCTCCAAAGATTGATATACTATGTTTTCTAGTGTTTTTATATCCTCAAGTCTTGAAGAATCAGGATATTCAAAAGAAAAAATTTCGAGGCCACCATTGATTTTTTTTCTGGCAAAAAAAGAAGCACGAAAAACCGTTTCGGCGAACACTTTTGACCGCTACTGTATATTTATCGCTTGGGGCCATTTTCATCAAACTTGAGAGAAAAACAACTGCACTACTATCAGAGAAGCTCGGATGTAATTCATTCCAACAGCTTCATGCAACCTTTCAGTTTCGACTTGTTTTTTCTCTTCTTGTCGTTCACGTTTTTTTTTCATAAAAATTGATTTTGAATATGAAATTGGCTTGAGGGTGTTGGCTTGGGTTGTGTGGCCCACCCGCTCCTAGAATGGGATAAATAATAAATAACTAAACACATTACGCATTTTAATTTATTTAAATCTTAGATATTTAAATGTCGATGTAACTACTGTATAATGTATGAATTTACATACTACTTACCTCTACTGCTTTATACCTTTTTTTGTATTTTGAAAAGCCGAAAATAGATAGTGGCGAATGGAGCTACTTCCCACGACCACGGTCCTGTGGTCAAATCTCGGATCAAATATCGTCCAGGCCGGGGTCGATGAACTGATACTAGGCTTGTCTGAGAGGTCAAAAACACTAATTTCGAAATCACCCTGGCCCCCACGTCTTTTGCCGCATCTTTTGCTCGCCCCATGAAGCCATTGTATAGCACAATTGCAACCCACACAGCACGATTTTGAGGTGGAGCAGAATGTGTGGCCGCCATTCCTGAACTAAAAACAAATTCTCCTGAATCATTTGCAATATGTTACTTATTTGATATTTGTTTTCAGTCTATAATATCAACTGATCAATATATATTATATTTTTTATATTTCTTATATTTATTTGTTATATTTTGCCTATATTTTTTGGTTGGTTTTTTTTATATATTATTTCATCATTCATATTTTATTTTCATAATATTTTTTTAATTCATTCATTTATTTATTACCAGGTGGCAAATGATACAGGTAATTTTATATATTCATGAAACCCGAAACAGTTCCACAGTTCAACGCTAACATGCATAGATTGATAGGAAGAATATTTGCCAAAAATTCTTAGAAAATGAAGAAAAACAAGAGTAGAAAAAAACAGATTTCAGTGTTGATTCGTCCCTTTTTGGATGCGCCATGCATTTCACCCTCATCAATGGTCGCACTGTTCAGTGGATGTGACTTGGTCATAGAATAACTTATGGGAAGTAGATCAGTTCCATGCCAGTATCTTCAACCATTCAAACGAGCCTGGGACAAATCAACCGGTCTCCAGAGGCTTGCATGTCCCTCTCCGAAAATCATGGATCTATGATCTGATTATTTACCAAAATTGACATTTAAAGACGTTATTGGCGATGAGAAAAGTCTATCACAAATTTAGCTGGAATCGGCTCGTTTTACTGGATACATCTTGTAGGATATATGTTTCAACAAAAAGACGTCTCTTTGGTTGGGCTACAGCTATTCAGGATTTTTGCCTGGCTGGACCAAGCGGCGACGAGCAAATGACATCTATGGAGCTACACATGATCCTCTGGTGACAGGGTGAGTCGATTTAATCGTCAGGTTAAGCCAGCTTGATAGTTTTAGTTTTGAAACCTTGAATTCCGTAGTGTGACATTTACCATCCATATCCATATCCACCTTCACTGCTCGACATATCTGCCAGAGGTATAGGAAGTGTAAAGAGATGGCTTGTTTTCGGCAATAACAAATCATTATTAGCAACAAAAAAAACATTTTGAATATATTATATAACAGCAATATTTATCGAGTAAATTTGGAAACCGTAAATTTCGTGACATGGTTCTTGCCATCACTTTCATGCCCTCCACGCTCGACTTGTCAGGCATGTACGAGATCCTAGGACGGTTTTTTTGTGAAAAAAAAGCAAAAGAAATTATTAAGCATTCGGAATACTAATATAGTAGCTATTTAATGAGTAGATTTGACGTCGAAAAAAATTGGAATATATATCACAGCAGTATTTATCGAGTAAATTTGAAACCGTAAATTTCGTGCCATGATTCTTGCCATCACTTTCATGCCCTCCACGCTCGACTTGTCAGGCATGTAAGAAATCATGGGATGGCTTTTATTCGTAGAAAAAGGAACAAAAAAG